CAAACAATTTAATTAAAAAGACTAACATGTGTGTGTTTATAAATATAGAGCAATTTTTCTTTTTGTTAAAAAAAAGTTAATACCAAAAAGCAACTAAATATAATATATTCTGTTTCTATTTAAACATGTAAATATAAGAGATAATTGTTTATTGAAGAACACAATAACACACATATAACATTGTGCTAGTGTCATAGTGTTGCCTCCCGGTCAATGACTAGCTCACTTGACACACACACATATATAACCGAAGGTTCATGGGTTGAGAGGTGGGCCAAAGGATCACTGTGGCTCCACCCATAAGTTTAATTAGATGTATTGAGTTTGAGTTCTATGAATGTAACAACATTGATAGTAAAGTTATTATCCAAAAAAGTTTCAATTTAACTCAATTCAAATTAGTCTGGAACTTTTTTAAATCCTCTTAACTTTGAGGTGAAGTAGACTTAGCATATCGATGGTTCAATGTAAACAAAAAAAGTTCTTCATAATGTTTTCTCTTAATTCTTCAGCTGCTTCTGGTTTTTTGGGAGACTGTTTGTTTGTTTTTTGTTTGCTTGTGTTATGCTAGTTTTCTGGTCCTGTTTCTGTAGTGTGTATTGAGTTTTAGGCTAATGTGTTATATTCATATGGTGTTCGTGCACTTTCATATTTGTACTTTGTTTTTCTTCATTCATGTAAGTCACGATGTTGGCCGAAGACATAAAACATGTGAGGCTTGGATCACCCAAAAAAGATGATTTGGGCTTTGGACTAATCTGTAGTAATTCAGTATTATTGGACCCAAAAAGCATTTCTCCAAAAGTGTGTGTGTGTCTTTTTGCCTGAATAGATGTTTTTTATCCGATTAATATTTAATATACTGGTACTCCAGTCTTATTAACATGTGACTTCTAACATATTTTATTATAATTAAAAAATTTAAAAATTTATTAAATTTCTAACTTTGTTTCTATTAAACATGCATATTTTAATAATATTTTTTTTTTATATTTAATGGAAGAATAATAATTAGGTCTTAAAACACTAAATTAATATTAGCTAAGCCCCTGACAATTTTTTTTGAAAAATAAGATAAAAATATCTATTTAAATTATTACAAATTGAAAATTTTTAATTATAAATAAATATTTAAATATAAAATGTAACTTTTAAATTGTAACAGAAATTTTATTTATAATTATTTAAATTGATATTTATAATTTATTTTGTAGAAAATTTTGTCGAGGATCTAACTATTATTAATTCATTCTTTGAGACCTAAGTGTCATTCTCCTAATATTTAATAGGGATAAAAAAGGGATAATGAAACTTTTAACCTTTCAAGTTTATTTTTTTATTTGGCCTTTAAATTTGTCTTTGCTTTTTATTTGGTTCTTATTATTTGTAGGATATAAAATTATTAAAATCTATTAACATAGATGGTAGAATATTGATCGCAGCTATGTACATTAATAAAAAGGGTGTAATTATTTAATAAAAAAATAGACTTAGAAATTTCAAAAATAAAAGAAAAAACAAAAGGCAGCATAAAGGACTAGATTAATAAAATTTAAACTGATTTGAATTCTAATTTGTTTGTCTTCATGTCAATTCATCAAAATATTTAGCACATTAGATTAATTTAAAAATAAATTTGTGTTTTATTACCTTTGTTCTAAATTATAACATACTTTTGAAAGTAATTTGACATCCCAAAATAAAAGACTTTGACAAAAATAAAATTTAATTAATAATATTTTTTTAATATTATCTTTTTATTATATTCTCATTCTTTAATATTTTTTTCATAAATTGAGTTAACTCAATGACATTTTCATAAGTTTACATTGTTTTTTAAAAAAGTTTGTGAAGTGTATTTAAGAGTTTTGTTTATATATAAAATTTTGTTTAAAAATATTTTATAAATTGGAATGGAAGGAGTAAAACTTAAGAGACTAATATATAATTTAAGAAAACATAAAAGATCAAATTGATGAAAGTTAAATTTCAAAGACCAAATCAATAATTGGAATAAATTTAAAAAAACTAAAAGTAAAAGTTTCATTCTTTCAATAAAAATTTAAGGAAAAATTACATATAGGACCCACAAAAAATAATTTATTATCAAAATTTCATGAAATTCATAAAATACTATCAAGTCTCAAATCTTATACATTTATAACTTGTCAAAGAGTATTTACAATTGAGCAACAGACATTTATAACTTATAAAAGAAAATAATAACTTGTAAATAATAAATTGTAAATGTCCTTTCTCAAGTTGAAATTGTGCAAGATTTAGAACTTGAAAATATTTTATGAATTTTATAGGACTTTTTGATAATAAATTTTCTTTTATGAAATCTAGATGTAATTTTTCTAAAATTTAAGAGAAAATTACATATAGATTTCCTAAAGTTAACTTATTTAAAAATAAGTCATATGAAATTCCTACTATCCTTTTAGACTTGAGTGTAATTTAAAATTAGGATAAAAAGTTAATAATCCTTATTAAATACACACACATTATATTAGTCAAATAATTTACAATTACTTCATCAATAATTTTTTTTTATATACAACTTCATCAATAATTTACAATTGTAACTTCAACCTTTAACAATTATGACTTCATATATTCAATAATTAAATTGATCAGTTTGATTATTAGATATATAAAATTACAGTTGTAAAAATTTAAAGCTATAGTTATAAATTGCTAATGAAATAGGTATAAATTAATTATTTAATTAATGTAATATATGTTTTATAAGGGTCTTATTGTCTTTGCAATTTAATTTCAAATTACACTCAAATTCTAAGGACCTAATTATGATTTTTAAATTTTGTGAGATTTATTTGTGAATAAGCCTACTTCCCAAGACTTATATGTAATTTTTTCAAAAATTTAATGATATAAATTATAAGTAATGTAAAAAATACTTATCTCTTTCTTGTAAATAGAGCTTAAGAGAATAAATGACAATTACTTACCTCACGATTATTGAGAAACTTGATTAAAATTAATTTTTCTCATTAAATATGTTTCAAATTAAATTTCCCCCCAAATTTTCCTTTAGTAATTAATGTTTCTACTATCTCTTATTGTTTCCCAAAATAAGCATTAAATGACAAGTAGAGGCACTTGTGAAGATAAACATTTGATTAGAAATGACTTATATTTTATACTCTAGGCCTTTTTTTTTTATAGGTTAAATGATATTTTTGCCTCTCAATTATTTACTCTAGAGTGTTTGGCATTATCAACTTATGAGGTGCAATTTACTCTTCAACAGTAAAAACGATGCATTAGGCACTTGGCATTGAAAAAGTTAATTTAATCTTTAGTTGACTGAAAAATTACAAAAAAAAAACCTGAAATATTAGAAAAATAATATATAAAATTATAACCAAGCATCGTAAAAAAAATAACATCAAGTAAATTTTTAAAACAATGGTTGGTCAAAATCGTAGGTAAGAAATAATATTTGCACTTTTTTTTTATATACTTAGAAGACTTAATTTATATTAATTTTTTATTAGGCATTTATGTATAATTTTATGAATATTTTTTGTAATTTTTGAGAATTTTCTTTTATAATTTTTTCAGATAAAGTTAACTTTTTTAATGTCAAGCAGTGTATCATTTTTAAATGTTAAAAGACAAAATTATACCATATATAAATTTAAAATAGTAGACCCTCTTAAGTGAATAATGAGGGGCAAAAATATTCACAATTTTTTTTTTTGAAAAAATACTAACTTATATTGAGGACTAAAATATTTGGATTCCACTTTTGCAAGCCGAAAGAACGTTCAGAAAACATACCTTTGTCTTAACTGATGTTTAGTTTACTTTTCATGCTTAGCTTTTGAAACAAAAAACATGAATGAAAAGCCAGTTTTGTAAACGGAAATCGCACTAACTTCTAACTTTTTTTAAACATTAGTTTAGTTTGACAATGTCCATTCTGCAAATTTCAAATCAAACAAACATTTATAAAAGCCTTGGAAAACTATATTCTTAGCAAATTGTAAATAGAATGAGTTGTAGAAAACTGTATTGTTAGTTCAGCTTCATGCAAACGTATGCGAAAAGTTATAACACACACACACACACACATGCACTATTGAAGATCCTCACACAACATCAACAAATCTTATACCATTAGATTAGGTTGAATATATGAATTGTACGAAATCACCATATTCTATCAACAAATAAAATGTTAGGAGGGAGGACACAGAACTAAACATATATAATCCCTATGGCTTTTCAGGACTCCCGGCGCATATACGAGATACTTAGTTTGTTAAGATCACATTTAGCTGGTTAATGACTTGTAGGGTCTTATATGAAGGTGGTCTTATTATAGATTAGGCCTGTGTGGAGTTTTAGCAATTGGGTTACTCACCCTGCTACCCCGTGTGGCTTGTGTAGCACCCTGAGGGTTTATAGATTGTATCTCCATGATTTTTTTTTTTTCGTTTTTTTAACCCAAAAAAGAGTTCCTAACGATTTCAGACCCAAAGGGGGAAAAAGAAGAGTCGGACCAAATGCATTATAATAATGTCAAAAGAAAAAAAAAAAAGAAGAAGAAGAAAAGAAAAAGAAAAGAACAGAGCACAAACTACACATCATTAACGCCCTCTATCCTTTTCAAGTTCTCAGAGCCTTATTGTACGAAAGCCCGAACCATTTTTACTTCAATTATTTCTTCTTTTTTTTCCCCTTCTGGTTTTTCATGACTGGATCTACAAGCTAACCTAACGTGGGTTGCTAAAAGCCACAGCCAACTTTACTGATGGTATCTATAAAATGACTCTGGCAGTGTGTATAATTAAGTACAGATATGACCTCAAAATCCAATTGGTATTCTGAACCATCAGACATTAACAGATAATCATAGAGCAAGTACTCAAATATGGCATATATAGGTCATACGTAAAAATAATAGGTAAACTTGTGCTGTCAACATGCAACCTAACTTGTTTAGTGTCTTCCCTTTTCGTGTCAACCTTCTCCCTTCTCTTTAATTGTCACACTTCACAAAATCTTCACCCGCAAATCTTATGCTGAAAAATGGTTTCCGGGTTAATTGGGTTTTCAGGTCAGCCCACTCTAATAAGCTACCCATAACTGGGATGACACAACTGAGCATCTCAACCTTTAATAAGATTTTGAATGTTACATCTCAGTCCATTCTTCGTTAGATCAACGATAAAGCAATCAAATGAAGGTTACATCTCTCCTTCCAGCATATTACTCAAATGGAACATTTCAACCTTCTAAGCTTTTGATAGACCATAAATAGGAATCTAACCTGTCTTGCGAAATCCATCCTGTCATGGCTGAAATGTTCTGGGCATTGGCTTTGGCTTGCCTCTGCTGGCCTCTGGCCCTCAGCAATGCCCAAGCACCAGAATCTACACCCGCAAAATTACCAACCAAAACACCAGCAGCACCTTCTAACTTGCCAACTAGAGTTCCTGCTGCAAGGCCGACCTCTTCAGCCGCACCAGTATCAGCCATGAAACCCCCTGTTGTGGCATCAACACCATCCACTTCTTGGAGACCACCAGCAGCAACCCAGCCACCTGCAACCTCCAAAGTGCCAGCTGCAAGGCCTGCCTCCTCTGCTGCACCATTAGCAGCTGCAAAAGCTCCAGCTGTGGCAGCAACACCATCCACTTCTAGTAAACCACCAGCAGCAACACAGCCACCTGCAACCTCCAAAGTGCCAACTGCAAGGCCTGCCTCCTCAGCTGCACCATTAGCAGCTGAAAAAGCCCCTGTTGTGGCTGTTAGACCTACCACTTCTGCTGCACCACAAGTGGCTGCAAAAGCCCCTATTACAGCTGCAAGGCCCGCCTTGTCTGCTGCACCGCTGGTGGCTGCAAAACCCCCCGTTGTGGCTGCAAGGCCTGCCTTGTCTGCTGCACCGCTGTTGGCTGCAAAACCCCCCATTGCGGCTGCAAGGCCGCCCTTGGCTGTTGCACCGTTAGTGGCTGCAAAACCGCCCATTCTGGCAGTAACCCCTTCCACTTCAAGCAAACCACCAACAGCAACTCCCACATCTGCACCTGTAAAACCCCCAGCACCCAAGGTTACACCAGCTATCAGCCCAAAAGCCCCAACCCCTAAAATTCCACCACCACAACCACCAAAAAGTCCACCCGTAGCAACTCCCATACTGCCACCACCATTAACACCATCACCAGTTGCTTTACCACCACTATTGCCACCTCCAACAATATCCCCAACACCAGACCAGACACCTCCAGCACCAGCACCAGCAAAGAAAAAACCAGCACCAGCTCCTGCACCCAAAAAGAAAGCACCAATACCATCACCTGTTCCTTCACCATTGATGGCCACACCAGCACTAGCCCCAGCACCAGTGGTGGAGACACCAGCCCCAGCACCTGAAGAAGACGTACCAGAACCACCTCCCCACAGGCACAGGAGAAGGAAGAAAAGTCATAAACACAAGCACAAGAGACACCAAGCACTCAGTCCAGCGCTTGCACCCACAACTATCCGGAGTCCCCCAGCACCACCAACAAGTACAAGTACAACGACTGTGGATTCAGAAGAAGACACAGCACCAGCTCCAAGCCCAAATTCAGTTAGTTATTTATCTGTTAAATATCATTACAAATATATTTTCAACTGTTGAGAGTTGATTGAACGCTTTACAATATGAAGTATTTAGTTCTATCTGTTGACACTCATCAGCTTCACATTATTTTAACTACATTTTCTACATTTTTAATTCACAGAATGGGGCAACATCATACAATCAACAGGTGGGCAAGTCGAGAATATGGGCATCAACGGGACTTGCTACTGCCATTTTCCTTGCCATCACTGGCTTCATCTGCTAGCACTCTCGTATCCAAGGATTCAATCAAAAGTGCTATTTGGCTTGCAAAATATGAAGCGAAGAGAACCAATAATGAAATGCTACAACTAAAGGACATGATGGTGTTATTTCATTCTTTTTTCTTTTATTTTTTAATGTGTGTATTTTTGCTTGGAAATATTTTTCAAAATATTTGCTTGGATATAATAATGAATATAAATTTTCAAATCATCTAAATAACTTGGATAAGTTATAAAGAAGATTACAACATCCAGAATTATCGCATTAAACTTGATCAATTTCGGAGTCCAGCTTGGTTTTCTCCCGGAAATCATACTCTGTGATGAGGCCAAGATTGTCAACTAATTTGTGATGCTGAAGACATCCTGCACACTAATAAGGTCCACTTCAAATTATTCACAAGAGGATGAATACTTCCACTATATTTATATCAACAAATTATGGCCATAAATTATCAAGCAATTCATAAATAATCAGTATAGCCAATGTAAATATAACTTTCTTTACAACAAAGGAAAAAGTAAGGGCATTGGAGAATTTTCTCAGGAGGCACAAATTTGTGTTACACTTTATTACGTTTCAAATGGGTGCCTCGGTGTTTGGATCAATTATGTACATGGCATAGCAACCACTGAAAAATTGATGCACCAATAAAGGTGGCCTTCAATTTCAAATTCATGCAAATGTAAAGGGGGAAAATAGTAATAAAAAAAAAAGATTCTAAAGCCAGTGATTTGACCCCCTTCCTTTGTTGCTAAAGGGGGCAAAGTTGCCAAAGATCAGTGTCAGATTACCAATAAACATATAAAAAAGAATTTAATTGTTTGCAAACATCAGGAAAATGAAGATTAAGCTTAAGCGTACAGGTTAGCAAGCAACCAGCATAATTGCTTTATATTTTATAGGGTAAAGGTGCAAATTTAGCCATGAATTATTTTCTGAGAACCACTAGTTAGCTTGTACTATAAGGTGGTGAAAAAAAATCATAAACTGTAACAAATGGAGCGACCACAGCCTTCTGTCCATTTTATCTAACATCCGTTCTCTTTCTCTCAATCTATCTCTCTCTAACTGCTTCATCTCTACCTCTCTTTCTCTCAGTCCATCTCTCTCACAAGCTCACATGGTCCTGAACACTGGGTTTAGAGTCATAAATGAGGTGATTTTGCAAAGCGGAACCAACAAGTTTAAAAAAAAGAAAAAGAATGCCCAGTGAGGCTATTGTGCACCACGGCAGACTAAAGGTAGGCTGTAGCATTTTCCTATAGAGGCTACTCCACCATGGAACCAAGTAATTCAAGTACGGTTTTGATCAAACTTGGTGGAAAGCCAACCCAATGATTGCTGTGTCTCTGCAAGTTTCAAGAAATTTTTATGATTTTTATTGAGCATCAGTTTCTTGGGAGAGTGAGAGTGAATAGGTTAATTTGCGCATAGATGAGACTGCAGGAAAGTGATAATGCAACTTAAAGTGTAAGAACAGAATGGGAGTAACCTCTAAAAGCCCTAAATTATCTTAAAATTACAGAAGAACACACCATGCACATATGCTCCGTCCTCTCAAAAACACAATTGGGCATGACAGTTAGTAGAGAACCTTGGAAGTGGCATTGAAGCATGGGTAGTGAATTTCAGTTGAGACGAGCATGTGGCGCTTGCCATAGATGATGAGAGCCCTGTGATTGTAGGTGACATTGAAGGGCTTGAAAAAAGCCGCAATTGTTACCTCATAGTGAATTGATAGACACATACAAATGAAATAGAGTGATCCTTGCCGAAAAGCTTCTCTTTGATGAGGCACAAGTCTGATCTCCATGTTTAAGCTTCAAGTATCTTTGCCTCTCTATTTCTCTCTCCGGGTCTCTTTGTTTTCTTTTTCCTCAAAAACGTGCAGTTTTCCAGAGACAAAGAAGAAGAGCCAATTCGAACAAAGGGACTAGTCGAACAAATAAAAACTTGCCACATGTCAATATTTTTGGCACAAAAAAAAATTTAACAGTCAACATTTTTCAGAATTAACAGTAGGCTGTGGATGCTCTGTTTTCTATGGTTGATAATTTTTTTCACCACCTCATAGTATAGGCTACCTGGTGTTTTTCGAAAAATAGTTCGTGACTAAATTTGCATTTTTATCCTATTTATATCCCACAAGTTTCCCCCTCCTATTTCATACACACTTGGTGGATATTATTGTTTGAAAACAAACAATTAATTAAACAAGTTTTGCTTGAAATCATGATATTTAGCATATGACCTGCCAAGTGCCAACCATGATGAAACCCCGCATCCATAACATTGTAAAGGTCAAGAAAACTGCATTTTTTATTTGCATGATTTAAAATTGCCAAGAAGACTTATCAGCTCTAAATTCATTTCCCTTCAAATCATATTTATTGTTTTCTCCAAAAGAAGCTAAGCAATTTTCAATACTTGAAAAGATGCAGAAATTCAGCTTCTTTCAATTTTATGTTGTATTTGCTGTTGAAAATATATACTATCAGCTGACAGCGGTAACAGAAGCCTTTTACCAGGACAACTATATGTTACTGTTTCTCGCATGAGTCCTATCAATTAGCATTATAATGGACCTTTAAAACTAAAGTATTCTCATCTTCTTCAATAGATTCATAGGACAACCACCCATGATAAAAGAGTAATTTGAGGGGAAAACATGGAATTTTGCAGCTTTTAGATCATAATATGTAATTTAATATTTAATATAAAGCTTATCCTATTCTGCATGTATGTTGCGAATCAAGAGTCAAGAGTTAATAAATACCTGAACAAAAATGACACCCCTTTCATAGGCTAATCGGTTTACAAGTCTCCTTGTTCTTTCACCACACAAGTTGCAAGTAAATTCTACAAGCATGCTTCTTCTTGGCAGCTTTAAGTCAATAGTAGCACCCTAAATATTGGACATAAAAGTTATTATAGTTTTTTTTTTTTTAATGCATGGGCACTACCGATAGGTTCAATGCAATGTCAAGGGAAAGCAGACATTAATATCAGGAGATAAAAGATGCACTTGTGGAAGAAAAAATTCCGGGTCTGAAAAATGTGCTCCAATTTCAATGCTTGAACTATTCTCCATGATAAAAAAACAAAACCTAAAGCTCAGAATGATTGTCACACAAGTTATTCAACTGAAAGTAAACAATTTAGAACTATACTAATAATTTTCACCGTTTAATGACAATATAATTTAACGAAGAATGAACTATAATCCAACAGGTACAACAACAATTTTATATTTGTTTTCCCAACAAAATATTAACCAAATTCACAAACCACTTCAGAAATATCTGATTCTGGTTCCGGGCCTGCCGCAGAATCACCATCCACCAATCCACGGACCTTAAAAACCTGACGGGAGACCACCCTTGTTGAACTCGAAAATTTCAACCTGAAAGCAATAAATTTAGTCTAGCAGAACAAACCCTAGAAAAAGGGATGGGATGGGGTTAGACAGGAACCTGTTGTTGCAAACTCTGACGGAAGGAGATTTTAGCCCAGAAATTGAAACTGGCTTGAAGATCTTGCAGTGGTGCGAGTGAGAAAGTGGCGATTTTCTGTCCGTGGAGCAGGAGAAAGAAGCGATGGTTGAAGGAAAACGGTAGAATGCGCTTGCCGCCATTCTTCTTTTTTTTCTTTTTTCTTTTTTCTTCTTCTGTGGCACGGGACTAATATCCCATTCCTAATATAGCAAAAATTAAAAGGAAAAACAACAATTATAACTTCATAAAAACATTAATAACTTATAGGCCTTGAATTATTGAAATTTTAATTACAAATCATTATTCTTATTTATAATAAATTATTTTTTATTGAATGACTTAAAATTTATAATAAATTCTTAAATATTTTTTGTTAATTTTTTAAGTGATAATAAAAAAAAACTATATGTAGGTCTCATAGAATAAAGTTTAATATTAAGAAATTCCATAAATTTAATAAAATACTCTCAAGTTTTAGATCTTATACATTGACAATTTGATTAAAGGCATTTTAAAATTAGACAATAGCTATTTATAACTTATAAACAAAAATGATAACTTGTAATAGAAAGTTATAAATGATTATTATCCAATTGTCAATGTCTTTAATCATATTGTCAATACGCAACATTCGAGATTTGAGATTATTTTATTAAATTTATAGAACCTCTGGATAATAAACTTTTTTTCTATAAGACTTGAATGTTGTTTCTCCTAATAAAAAGTTACAAGTGATTGACTTGTTATTTGTAATTTACTTTAGTAAAGTTTCAAATGACACTACAAATAATTTCCAATGTATTTAGTAGATTTCTTAAGATATTTATTTAAATATATTGACAGCAAAATAATCATAAATTATTGGCTTGTGATTCATAATTAATTTTCATAAATTCTCGACTAACATTAGAAATAATCTCAAGTGTATTTACTTGATTTCTCAAGTAATCTATCTATATATTGATAGCAAAAAAAAAAAAAATCATGATTCACAACTTACACTCATAGATTCTCAACTAGTATTACAAATAATTATAAATGTATTTAGTAAAATTTTCAATTAACTGTTCAAATTTTTTTAATTGTAAGTAAGGACCATATTTATTATTGAAATTTAAATGTTTTAGAGTTTATAATTATCATTAATATTTTTATAAGGTTTCTAATTAGCATTTTCCCAAATTAGTGAAACATTTTTATTTTCACATAAATTTATTTTAGGCTAAAGTATACCTTTTTTAAATTTTATATAAGGTTTCAAATTGTTCCTTTAATTTTTTAAACTATCTTTTTAATTTTTAGCCCTAATATCATTATCTTATGCTAATGATTATTGTTTTAAAAAAATTAAAATTAATATATCAGATTTTAAAAATATTTTGCTGATATTTAAAAGTTTTATATTGTGATAAAATTAAAGATTAAAGGATTAAAAAATAATTTATAAAATAAAAAGGATAAAATGAAATTCTGTATAAAGTTAAAGGTTTTAACCTTTATTTTAATTTTCCCAGATTTGATTAATTACTTTTCTAATTCAAAATTACAAAATATAATTTAACCTGATGTAAATTAATCAGTGAATTTAAGGTAGTGAAATATTTGATACTAATTTTATAAAGCATTGATCAAATGATAAAAACACTCATAAAATTTTCTCATAAAAGTACCATCCTTCACTTAATAATATAGGGTGTCTCTGGTAGAAAACTTTATAAATATTTTTGCATTTTAATGCTCAAATATTTCTACTTTGCATTCATTACAAAATTTAAATATGCATTGCAATTGCTGATCTTTTTTTTTTTAATGTAAGGTGCTAATAATTAATTTTTTTTAGTGTAGTTGAAGCTCATTATCAATTTGTGCATTATGTAACACCCTAAATTTTAACACTTATTTTTTATAAATTAATAATTTGATAAATTATTTTAATAATTTTAAACTCTTACCATGCTAGAAAAAAAAATTATAAAAACATTTCAGAAATAGTCTATTGTGATAAAAAAGGTCTATCATGATATAAAAATTCAAACATAATAAATTTACTTTATCATAATAATAAAGAAAAGCAATCATTAACCTATTATAATTTCAAAGCCATAGTCAATTGAGCAACATTTAACAAATCATGTTTTTACTCTAGATACCCAACTTGGGCCCTAAATTATACTTTTTCAAATACCAATAACCACCAAAAACTATCACATAAGGCAGACTTGATTGAAATGTTGCTCCACAGATTTTCAGGGCCATGAGAGATAAATAGAATTCTCTTAGCATATAAAGTACAATAATGAATAAAGTCTACATGCTCAAAATATATATATATATATATATATATATCCATTCTAGATTGGCATAATATACATCATTAATGAAAATAAAGAGGCTGAAACAGAAAATGGTGTCTCATACATTAAATTATGCCTCAGGCACTTCTTCAGGCAGACTTGCTCCTGAAAAATTAATAACCACGGGGAATGAGATTTAAAAGTCTTAGTAACCAAATATTAATATGTAATAATGTACATGAAGTAGTTAATCATGCGATTGCTAAGTGGGCCCAAAACAACAATCCAAGTGATAACTTAAATTAGTATGACTACACTTTATATCCCTCCTTACACCATACTTGGATGCCAAGTCACCCGACTAAAGGTGAGTTGGACTAATCTACAAGCCACACATTAGTTCTAATGAGGGCTTACCACATGATAACTCAACCAAATAAAAATTTTTATTGAATAATTTTTAATATACTCCGACCAGTCATGCATTAATAACAGCTGAACAAAAATCATTTGACACATTTTTATATAAACCAAACAATTTATCTCATGTTTTCAGCAGTGCCATTTTCACAAAATATTTGTAATATAAATTTAACCCACTTGACAATTATTTTCAAACAAAAATATACATATATATTATTTCTCAACAAAAATTAATATTTTTCTAACAAAACAAACACACAATTAATCACACACACACTGTCACACATTAATAATGGTTATTTCATATCTTGGATAACAATTTTTTTTATATCAGAACTCTTTTACCATATGGACAACACAATCTACACAGCCATTTAATAATATATGTATAACATTAATTCATGATACTAAATATTAATTTTTTTTATTAAAATTAATAAATAATTCCAATTAAATAGTTAGAAAGTTTAGGCCTAATCTAGATATTAATACTAATTCAAAATTTATGCCTGGTTTAATTTTTTAAATTATTTTATGAAATTCTCAAACCTCAATAGACTATACCTTAGTTTTAAATCAATCATAATACTAAGATTTCATCAATTTATTTTCCTAAAATTCGTACAAAAATAAATTAAAAATTTAAAAATTATCATCAAGCCTCAAATCACCATTTCATAGCCTCATAAATATTTATTTATACTCAAATGAATATCTAATAATCAAAAACCTATCCCAACATTTTAGATCTAACATAAACTCAATCATATAAGTCTAGAGTTTAACTCAAAAATTTTTTAAGCTAAGTTTCAAACTTAAAGAAATATTCTATAGTATTTATTATACCTCTAACAACCTCAACATTTATTTTTGAATCATCATAACCTCGTATTAACTATCCTATAAAAAAATCTTAAATCAAAGAAATCTTGAAATATGAAACTCATTTTGTACACCTTAATAATCTGAAAATTTAGAACCTTATGTGAATAAAATGAACAGTGCTGTGCAGAAGTTAAAATGGAAAGAGAAAAAAGAGGAAGAAAGCTGTGCACAGAAAATGAGAAGGAAATGAGGGTTTTTATAATAGGACACAGGTTTCATAGTCATTTATTACTTAATATTTATTATTATATTATTAACAAAATCTTTCAAACAAAGGGGAGCAATTTCAACATGAAGGAGAAATTTCAACTAAGGAAGAAAAAAAATTTCCAACCACTTCAGTGGCTTGACTTTCCTTATATATATTAATTATATTTAAATAAACATCTCTTGTATAATTCTGAGCCTAAATTTGATCTACATTTGAATGCCTATATATGTGATTAACTCTAAATAATATTGAATATAAATTTATTTATTCTAAATCTAAAACAATATGAATTCCTAAATTTGAATACTCAACAAAAACTCAAATTTCACAATTTATTTGTTATATAAAGATCAGGATGTTACATCTCTCTCTTCCTTTTTAAAATTTTATCTCCAAAATTTGGAGTCAAAAGCTTAAACATTACTTACCTATGTAAATAAATGTGGATAATCCCTTCTAAATTATCCTCAATCTCCCAGGTAGCATCATCTGGGGTTGTGCCTTTCCAAATCACTTTCACGAGTTGGATGGCCTTATTGCACAATTGCTTATCCTTAACATCCTCTATCCATTCTGGTTCGGATCTAAAGGTCAAATTCTCGTTGAATTTGACCTCTTTCGGTTGAATCACATAAGACAGGGTAGGGTTGTATTTCTTCAATTGGGACATGTAGAACACATTGTGAATGCCTGCAATCTGTGGTGGTAGGGCAACTCTACAGGGTACTGGTCTAATTCGCTCTATAATTTCATAAGAACCCATAAATTTAGCCGTTAACTTCTTTTTTTTAATAGCTTTATCGATGCCTGCCATCGGAGAAACCTTTAAAATTATACGGTCTCCTACATCAAATTGTAAAGGCCTTCTCCTCTTATTGGCATAACTCTTCTGTTGACTTTAAGTGAAGAGCAACCTTTGCTTAATCATTGTAATTTTTTGAGTAGTGTACTCTATAATATTTGGCCCAATGAGGCTCCTTTTGTTCAATTCGATCCAACAAAAGGGTGATATGCATTTCCTCTCATATAATGCCTCATAAGGCACCATCCCAATGCTAGAATGATAGCTATTATTGCAAATAAATTCTACTAATGGGAGATGGCTATCCCAACCATCGACTAACTTGATTGCATAGGCCCTCACCATATCCTTCAAAGTTTGAATTGTCTTCTTTGTTTGTTCATTATTTTAAGGATGGTGTGCAGTGCTAAAACTCAACTTAGTACTCATAGCCTTTTGCAGTGTATTCCAAAAGTTTCATATGAACCTTGGATCACGATCCAACATAATCTTGGAGGGTATACTATGTAATTTGACTATTTCCTTAACATATATTTCCGCATACTT